CGCTCCTCTCGCCTCGTCCTCCCCTTAGTCCTCTTTCTCCTCCTCCCCCTCTCACCATTTCCCTCCTCCATACCTCTCTCCTGTCTCCTCTCCCTCTCCTCCCCCTCCCACCTCCTCCCTTTCCCCCCTCCTCTCCCTCCTCATCCCTTCCCCCCCTCAACCCTCCCACCTCCTCCTCATTCTTCTTCCCCCATCCTCCTCTCCTCCTCCTCTCTCTCCTCCTCTCTTCCTTCCCCCTCCTCTCGTTCTTCCTCCCCTCTGGGAGGAGGGGGAGAGGGAAGGGGGAGGGGGAGAGGGAAGGGGAAGAAAAGAAGGTCAAGGGGGAGGGAGAGGAGGAGGGCAGTTGCAGACCTGAGACAATCCCCCCCATCCCTGGGCTGAGCCTGAACCATGAGATGAATTTGAACTCTGACCCCCCCCACCTTTAACCCAAACAGGGCTGAGCCCAGAGACAAACCTACCCCAACCTCCTACCCTAGGTCCAGCGCTGCCCTCAAGTTCTTTTTTTGTTTGTTTTTGAGTCTTGCTCTGTTGCCCAGGCAGGAGTGCAGTGGTGTCATCTCGGCTCACTGCAACCTCTGCCTCCTGGGTTCAAGCATTTCTCCTGCCTTAGCCTCCCGAGTAGCTGGAGTTACAGGTGGGTGCCACCATGCCTGGCTAATTTTTGTATTATTGGTAGAAAAGGGGTTTCACCATGTTGGTCAAACTTCTGACCTCAAGTGATCCCCCTATCTCGGCCTCCAAAGTGTGGGGATTACAGGTGTGAGCCACTGCACCTGGCCTAAGTTCTTAACCTTGATCTCTGCCTGCAGGGACAGTCCCCTCACAGGTCACCAATGCCTCTTCCCCAGGGAGACTGGGGTGGGGCGTGAGCTGGGGCTCTCTGAAGCACCCCTCTGTCCACACAGGCACTCCTCAGCTGCTGGCCCTGGTGCAGCACTGGGTGCCCGGGACACGGCTGGTGGAGGAGCTGCCACACGAACTGGTGCTGGTGCTGCCCTACACGGGTGCCCATGACGGCAGCTTCGCCACACTCTTCCAAGAGCTAGACACGCGGCTGGCAGAGCTGAGCCTCACTGGCTACGGGATCTCCGACACCAGCCTCGAGGAGGTGTGAGGCCTGGGTGCTGGTGAGGTGGGGCCAGAAGGAAGGCTGCCTGGAGGAGGTGGTGTTTTGAAGGATGAATAGCAGTGTGTTTATGAGCAGCAAGGACATTCAGGGAGGAGGCATGGCACATGAGGAGCTCTGGTGGCTCAAACGTCCCTTGGGAAGGTCTGGGGGACCCATGGTGTAGGAGGGGTGGGGGGCTCATAAGCCCCCAGTTCCCCCTGTGGGTGTCCAGGCTCTGAGCCCCCCGCTTGTCTCCCCAGATCTTCCTGAAGGTGGTGGAGGACTATGCTGCGGACACAAATACGGAGGGTGCGGCCGCAGCTCCCTGACCCCTGACCCCGATCCAGAGTGGGACTGAAACCAAGTTCCCATCCCCGGCTTAGTCTGGTCCAAGGCATAGCGTTTACCCCTATGCCTGATTTCTAATCCCCCAATCTGTGATCTTCAACTTTGACCCTAACCCCAATGGCCCTGCAGATGGCAGCTGTGGGCAGCACCCGTGCACGGGCATTGCTGGCCTAGATGTGACCCTGCGGCTCAAGATGCCACCGGAAGAGACAGCGCTGGAGAATGGGGAGCCAGGTAAGTCCTCCCCAGTGGCCCTGTGGTTCTCCCAGCCCCCCACCCATAGCAGCGTGAGCACTGACCCTCTCATCCCTCACAGCTGGGTCAGCCCCAGAGACCCAGGCCCTGCAGGGCTCTGGGCCAGACACCGTGGGCCGGGTACAGGGCTGGGCACTGACCCGCCAGCAGCTCCAGGCCCTGCTTCTCAAGCGCTTTCTGCTTGCCCGCCGCAGCCGCCGCGGCCTGTTCGCGCAGGTGAGGGGGGCCAGCACCAGGGAGTCGCATGGGAGTCCCTGAGTTCCCTACCCTGGCCATCCACTCAGTGGCCTAATTCAAACCCTTACCCTCGTGTGTATTCCCAACCCAGAGCACATTTATTGAGGGCACTGGGGAGCCATGGGTGGTTGTAGAGCATGAGCAGGGACAGGGGCAAGCAAGCCTGGAAGGTGGGTGGAAGCAGCAGCTGATGGGCTGGTCCCCCAGATCGTGCTGCCTGCCCTCTTTGTGGGCCTGGCCCTTGTGTTCAGCCTCATCGTGCCTCCATTCGGGCACTACCCGGCTCTGCGGCTCAGTCCCACCATGTACGGTGCTCAGGTGTCTTTCTTCAGGTGGGTGCAGAAGGAAGGGGCTGGTGGCAGGAAGACTAAGGATCTGGGGGTACAGCCCTGACCCTCCATCTCCCCTCACACACAGCGAGGACGCCCCGGGGGACCCTGGACGTGCCCGGCTGCTTGAGGCACTGCTGCAGGAGGCAGGACTGGAGGAGCCCTCCGTGCAGAATAGCTCCAACAGGTGAGGGCATCTCGTTGGCCTGGACCTTGCCCCTCTCTGGCCTCAGTTTTCCCATCTGGTCCCTGGCCAAGGGGCCTCAGGGAGCACCCGAAGCATCCCCTGTGCCCACCTGGGAGCTGGGAGCCTCTGTGTCTCCAGGAGCCCCCAGAAGCTGGGTGCTCACAGACCCGCACCTTGACCCTGCCGGGCCCCTGAGTGTGCACAGCCCATTGTCTGCAGGTTCTCGGCACCAGAAGTTCCTGCTGAAGTGGCCAAGGTCTTGGCCAGTGGCAACTGGACCCCAGAGTCTCCTTCCCCAGACTGCCAGTGTAGCCGGCCCGGCGCCCGGCGCCTGTTGCCCGACTGCCCGGCTGCAGCTGGTGGTCCCCCTCCGCCCCAGGCAGTGAGCAGCTCCGGGGAAGTGATTCAGAACCTGACGGGCCGGAACCTATCTGACTTCCTGGTCAAGACCTACCCGCGCCTGGTGCGCCAGGGGTGAGCCATGCCCCGGGACTCAGTTTCCCTGGCTATAGCGTGGGTCCTTGGGTTGGTAGGGCTGGTATGGTACTGGGGGAAGTGGAGAAGAGGTTGGATGCCCAGCCTGGGGCTCTGGGCTGGGGGTCCTGTGTGCCCTCCTCTCCTCTTTTTTTTTTTTTTGAGATGGAGTCTGCCTCTGTCACCCAGGCTGGAGTGCAGAGGCGTGATCGCAACTCACTGCAACCTCCACCTCCCAGGTTCAAGCAATTCTCCTGCCTCAGCCTCCCAAGTAGCTGGGACTGCAGGCATGTGCCAGTGCACCTGGCTAATTTTTGTATTTTTAGTAGAGACGGGGTTTCACCGTGTTGCCAGGCTGGTCTCGAACTCCTGACCTCAGATGATCCACCTGCCTTGGCCTCCCCAAGTGCTGGGATTACAGGCGGGAGCCACCGCGCCTGGCCTTCTTTTCTCTTTTTGTCCCACCCTTGACTCTGCAGGCCCCTCTCACCGTTTCTCTCTGTCCCACATCCCTGTCTCTGCCTATGTCTCTGTCCGTCTCTCCCACAGCCTGAAGACTAAGAAGTGGGTGAATGAGGTCAGGTGAGGAGGGGTCTAGCTTGGGGTCCCCTGCCCCAGTTCTACTCCCGTGCCCTCTGCCTGCCCCCTAGGAGCTCTCCCAGCCCCCCGGCCCTCAGCTCCCCTTCCCTGCCTGCATGGCCTCATAGGTATGGAGGATTCTCGCTGGGGGGCCGAGACCCAAGCCTGCCCTCGGGCCAAGAGTTGGGCCACTCAGTGGAGGAGTTGCGGGCGCTGCTAAGCCCCTTGCCTGGCGGGGCCCTCGACCGTGTCCTGAATAACCTCACAGCCTGGGCTCACAGCCTGGATTCTCAGGACAGCCTCAAGGTGGGAACTGGGGGTGACAGGTGGGTGTCCTGTCACAGCAAGGTCCGACCCCATTTTCCTGACCCTATGACCTTGACCCCCACCCAGATCTGGTTCAACAACAAAGGTTGGCACTCCATGGTGGCCTTTGTCAACCGAGCCAACAACGCACTCCTACGTGCTCACCTGCCCCTAGGCTCGGCCCGCCACACCCACAGCATCACCACACTCAACCACCCCTTGAACCTCACCAAGGAGCAGCTGTCTGAGGCCGCACTGTGAGTCCCTCCACCCTTCATGTCCTACCCTTTCTCCGTTTCTCTGTCGTTCGAGGTGGTGGGAACTGGATTTGAACCCTGACATACTCTTGCTTTATAAATGGGGGACAGAAACTGTTCCTCTGCTCCCTAAACCAGGGAAATGGGACCTCCTCAGGCTCCACGGGCCCCAGCCTCCCCAACACATCCTCGTCCCACCAACCTTTATCCTGTCTTGAGACCTGTACAACCTCTGCTGCCAAATCCCAGGCACTGTCATCCCTAAATTGCCCCCACCATCTCTGCCACTGCTGACTGCCCCATAGACCTTTGTCCCATCAATGGCGTGTTCAGCTCTGCTCTGAGCAACCCATGCGCCCTCACCCTACAATAGCCCTCATATACTCACCTCCAGGATGGCCTCCTCGGTGGATGTCCTCGTCTCCATCTGTGTGGTCTTTGCCATGTCCTTCGTCCCGGCCAGCTTCACTCTTGTCCTCATTGAGGAGCGAGTCACCCGAGCCAAGCACCTGCAGCTCATGGGGGGCCTGTCCCCCACCCTCTACTGGCTAGGCAACTTTCTCTGGGACATGGTGCGGGGGCTGCTTGGATGGGTGGGGGCCCAGCCACTGCTTGCCACTGCCCTGTCTGGCCCCTTCTAGGCAGGGGCTTGTCCAAGATGGCCTGGGTAAAGTCTTAAGGATTGTGGGAGACTTTGTGTCCTCCTTCTCAAAAAGCAAGGAGGTCAGGGTGGGAATAGGGCTGAGGGTGGTAGTCCCCACCCCTTCACACTGATAAAGGTAACTGCCATCTCCAATGCAGTGTAACTATTTGGTGCCAGCGTGCATCGTGGTGCTCATCTTTCTGGCCTTCCAGCAGAGGGCATATGTGGCCCCTGCCAACCTGCCTGCTCTCCTGCTGTTGCTACTACTGTATGGGTGAGGACCCCAGTCCCTCAGGGCCTATTCTTACTGCCCCTTACTGCCTTCCCCATCAATGCTGCTGAGAGAACTCTGCAGCAGCTCCTAAGGAGAGGATATGGAGGTCTGGGGTGATACCATGTGTGATGCAATTCAGTGGTGTGCCAAGGTGGCCTTAAAAGCTCATCTTGTCCTGACTCCTATTAATAGAGGTCTAAGGCAGCCCACGCCTGTAATCCCAGCACTTTGGGAGGCTGAGGCAGGAGGACTGCTTGAGGTCAGGAGGGCAACATAGAGAGTCTTTTCTCTAAAAAGAAAGAAAGGGCTGGGCATGGTGGCTCACGCCTGTAATCCCAGTACTTTGGAAGGCCGAGGCAGGCAAATCACAAGGTCAGGAGATGGAGACTATCCTGGCTAACATGGTGAAACCCCGTCTCTACTAAAAATATAAAAAAATTAGCCAGGCGTGGTGGCCTGCACCTATAGTCCCAGCTACTCGGGAGGCTGAGGCAGGAGAATGGCGTGAACCCAGGTGGCAGAGCTTGCAGCAAGCCAAGATCGCACCACTGCACTCCAGCCTGGGCGAAAGAGTGAGACTTGATCTCAAAAACTAAAAAAATAGAAAGAGAGAAAGAGAAAGAAAAAAAAAAAAACAGAAATGTGCTTTGGGTGAAAATGTCGAGGTCTAAGGCAGAGAAGATGGGAATGGAGATTTTTATTCCTCTCTGGGCTTCTCAGTCTGAGTAGTTACTCCAGTGACTCCTATTGTCCCTTCAGCTGGTCGATCACACCGCTCATGTACCCAGCCTCCTTCTTCTTCTCCGTGCCCAGCACGGCCTATGTGGTACTCACCTGCATAAACCTCTTTATTGGCATCAATGGAAGTATGGCCACCTTTGTGCTGGAGCTCTTCTCTGATCAGGTGGGGCACCATGAGGCTGGGGCTTGGGCTGGGTTGGGTTGTTGGACTCAGCCCCTAACCAACATCCCTCTTGCTGCCCTTGAGCAGAAGCTGCAGGAGGTGAGCCGGATCTTGAAACAGGTCTTCCTTATCTTCCCCCACTTCTGCTTGGGCCGGGGGCTCATCGACATGGTGCGGAACCAGGCCATGGCTGATGCCTTTGAGCGCTTGGGTGAGAACTTCCTGTCAGGTGGGGCCATGGCTACAGATAGCTAGCACCCTTGGAGACCTAGAGTTAATTATACACAGTGGAGACAAACAGCCCCGCCAGGGAGACAGCCAGGATTCTTAGGTGGCCGCAAGATTGGGCCAAGTTGGAGGTACAAGAAAGCAGCCATATTGTAATCCCAGCACTTTGGAAGGCTGAGGCGGGCGGATCACAAGGTCAGGAGATCGAGACCACCCTGGCTAACACGGTGAAACCCCGTCTCTACTAAAAATACAAAAAATTAGCCGGGCGTGGTGGTGCGCACTTGTAGTCCCAGCTACTCAGAGGCTGAGGCGAGAGAATGGCATGAACCCGGGAGTCGGAGCTTGCAGTGAGCCAAGATCGCGCCACTGCACTCCAGCCTGGGCGACACAGCGAGAATCGATCTCAAAAAAAAAAAAAAAAAAGAAAGCAGCCATATAAAGCTAATTCTGTCTTAGATTACATCACAAGAGGCCTAAGCCTCTAATTAAGGAAGGTGATAAAACTTCTGTTTTCTATGCCAATTAGACTCCAGCTGAGTGGCCTATCCAGTTTGTGCTACTTTCCCTTAAGAATCCAGAGTGACATGGACGGTGAAGGGGCCAGAAACCAAGACTCTCATGGACCCAGTCCCTCCTTTCTATATCCACAGGAGACAGGCAGTTCCAGTCACCCCTGCGCTGGGAGGTGGTCGGCAAGAACCTCTTGGCCATGGTGATACAGGGTCCCGTCTTCCTTCTCTTCACACTGCTGCTGCAGCACCGAAGCCAACTCCTGCCACAGTTAGTCAGGTCTACAGAGAGGGTGGCAGGGGCCAAGGACCTACTTTAGGCCCACAAATGTTCTGTCCCCAGACCCAAGGTGAGGTCCCTGCCACCCCTGGGATTGGAGGATGAGGATGTAGCCCGTGAACGGGAGCGGGTGGTCCGAGGAGCCACCCAGGGAGATGTGTTGGTGCTGAGGAACTTGACCAAGGTAGGTGTGGCCAGGTTGACTGCTGGGTTGGGGGGTTTCCCACTGGCCCACTCACCTTTCTGAAGGACCTGCACTCTTCCAGGTGTACCATGGGCAGAAGATGCCAGCTGTTGACCGTTTGTGCCTGGGGATCCCCCCTGGTGAGGTGAGTCCAGGGGTGGAAGCCTGGTGCAGGGAAAGTGAGAGGCTGCCCTACTGAGTGCCCTCCCCATCATCCTTTACTGAACACCTACTCTGTGCCCACGGCCCTTTATTGAGCAACTACTGTGCATCCACCACCTTTTATTGGGCACCTACTGTGTGCCAATATTTGTGCTCCTATTTTTATTTTATTTTATTTTATTTTATTTTATTTTATTTTATTTATTTTTTTGAGACGTAGTCTCTCTCTGTCGCCCAGGCTGGAGTGCAGTGGCCGGATCTCAGCTCAATGCAAGCTCTGCCTCCCAGGTTCACGCCATTCTCCTGCCTCAGGCTCCCAAGTAGCTAGGACTACAGGCGCCCGCCACCACGCCCAGCTAATTTTTGTATATTTAGTAGAGGTGGGGTTTCACCGTGTTAGCCAGGATGGTCTCGATCTCCTGACCTCGTGATCTGCCCACCTCAGCCTCCCACAGTGCTGGGATTACAGGTGTGAGCCACTGTGCCTGGTCTGTGCATTTATTTTGAGCCAGCAAAACCTCATTAAGCACCTACTGCCTGCTTACATCTATTAAACACACACTGTGCTCACTAAAGAGGTGTACTGAATACTTTTGTGTCCATCAACGTTTATCAAATACCAATAGAATTTATTAGACCCCTGTTATATACACATCTATATCAAGCACTTGTCACAGCCAGCATTGATCAGGCACCTGCTTTGTACCAGTTCACATTCAAGCACCCTTGAACTATGTGCAAATTTATTTGCTGTGTGCCACTTATTGACCACCTACTAGGGCTGGTATACATCGGCAAACAAGTGCTGTTTGTTAGCACACATTACAGTATGTGTGTGTGTATATATATATGGGATTTATATATATTTAAATATATATAATATGTATTTATATGTAAATATATAAAAAATATATAAATATAAATATATATGGGATTTATATATATATAATATATATATATTTTTTTGAGATGGAGTCTTGCTGTCACCCAGCCTGGTGTGCCATGGCGCAATCTTGACTCACTGTAACCTCTGCCTCCCGGGTTCAAGCAATTTTCCAGCCTCGGCCTCCCAAGTAGCTGGGACCACAGGCACACACCACCATGCCCAGCTAATTTTTGTATTTTTAGTAGAGACGGGGTTTCATCATGGTTGGCCAGGCCCTGGTCTTGTGCCGACTCTCCAAATGATTCCACGGCGCTTGGCTCCCGAAGGTGGCCTGGGACTCACAGGTGTGAGCCACCACACCGGCTTTTTTTTTTTTTTTTTTTTGAGACAAAGTTATCCTCTGCCACCCAGGCTGGATGCAAATGGTGTGATCTCAGCTTCACTGCCAACGCTCCTGCCTCCGGGTTCAGGTCAATTCCTCTGCCTCAGCCTCCTGAGTAGCTTGGGATTACAGGTATGCGCCACACATCTGGCCTACCTTTTTGTAATTTTCAGCTAAGATCAGGGGTTTCACCATATTGCCAGGCTTGATCTTGAACTCCTTGACTCAGGTGATTGCCGCCCTTGGCTTCCCCAAAGTGTGCAGGTTACAGGTGTGAGCCACCAGGCCGGCCGACAGTATATCGTTACTAGGCCCGGTCTGGTGACTGCGCAACCTCTCCACCCTTGGGACTGCTGTGTACCCGCGCTAAGTACACACGAGATAGCCAGGAAACATAGAAAGTCGGGATGCCCTGAATTTTGTGAACACTTGGCTGCGATACGGCTTTTATGGGACCTCACTGTGTGCCAAAAGCCATTCCTGCTAACGCAGACAGCTTTATGCCCGCTTAATACCCCAATATCTCCAGCTCCCCCTGGGCCCCATAAAACGTCGGCCCTCCATGATGGACACATCCAGAAATCAGAGGCTGCTGAGGCGGGCGTGGTGGCTCACACCTGAAACCTGCACTTTGGGAAGGCCAAGTGGGAGGATCACTTGAGATCAGGAGTCATCGAAACCAGCCTGGTCAACATGCAAAACCCCATCTCTAACTAAAAATACAAAAAATTAGCTGGGCTTGGTGGTGCACTCACATCCGCCTGCGCGGGATCGTCGAAGCACGCCCTGAGGGGGGAGTGGGACATTGGGGGACAGAGACACGAAAATGGAGACATAGACAGTGCCCTGATCAAGTTCTCGTTTTAATGGTGGTAATGCAATGCCTTATATTACACTTGGAGGGAAGGGTTGGCCAGCAGGCGGAGATGATCTCAATTGCGGAGGGTGTGCTAGGTACGGTATGGTTTCTCTGGTCGCGACCTCTGTTGCCCCTGCGCTGTCAGTTGAAACTTTTCCCGGCGCAGGCATGCGCCTGCGCACAAAGTAACAACCTTTCGTCGGCGGTGCCGGGAAAACATGGCATCCGGAAAGGCAGGAACGCAGCGCCATCTCTATGTTGGGCCATATGAAAGCAGGCAGATCAGGGAAAGAAGTAAAAATCTAGGGAGGAGGCTGGGGTGGAAATGAATGACTCAGTGCGTTTTTTAAATCGTCAGTTATTTCGCTAATGCCGGGCGCGCAGCTCGGACAGGTCCCCTTTTTTATTATTTAAGATAAGAAAACAACACCCCCTCGGCGAATCTGCGCCGCTGTTTAGGTTGGGTCCAACTCCATCCCCCACCCTTCCTAGGACCGTGCAATGGAATAAGGGCAGCCAAGCCAAGGGCCGCCCTCCTGTCTTAGGCCTACCGGTGCGAGATAGTTGTCGCTCTTAACCCGTCATTTGACTGTCTGCAGGCTCAGCACCACAGGGGAGTGGTATTATTAAAGGCAAATAAGACGGCCAGCCCATTTCAGTTGCCTCAAGGCGATGATAATGGACCTGTATAGGTTTGGCCTGAAAGGCCTCGATTTGTTGTCTGACGAATGCCATAAGCTTATTGAGGATTATAGGGCCGAGAGTGAGGAAGAGTAGAAGAGTAAGTAAAGGACCAAGAAATGGCAGGAGATAGGGGAGAAGTCCATCGAGTCCAGTCCACAATGGATTCGTGGCCAGGCCTTTTCTGCGCTTTTCTAGTTCTTCTTGCAAAGTCTTTATCTTATCCCTGACGATTCTGGATTTGTTGGCATAAAAACAGCACTTTTCCTGTAAAGCCAAACAGATCCCTCCCTGTTCTGCTGTTAACAAATCTAGACCTCTTCTATTTTGGAGAACTACTTCAGC